GTGAGTGTGGCTTTCCTCGTCGTGTCGCCGCCTCACTACATTCTGATGCGGCGCGGCAGTGAGGATACCTTTTGGAGAAAACTGCGAGACTTGCAACGACTGCGAAACAGAACATATTGCTTAAATACTCTACTTTTTGTATAGAAAGTTACTAATTTTTAAGGAAACTGAGAACTTCTTGTGATTCAGTATTGAAAAGCGTGATATCATGTGACAATTGATAACACAAACTTCAAGCAAATATCCTGTATCTCAGTTCTGTTACGCACTCGCAGTCTCTCTCAAAATCCCCCCATGTGGTCTCCCCGCCATGAGCTTCCCCTGAGTCACAACCTAAGGAACGCCGGTGTACCTGTAGGAGAGCGCCGGCGGATTTCCCGAGGCGGCGCAGGTCAGCGTGGCCGTTTCGCCCTCCCTGTAGCCATCCTGGTCGTGCGTGATCGTCACCTCGGGCGGGTAGCTCACCTCCAGACGCACCTGTTGGGCAAAAACATGACACTCAACGGGGGCGGGGGTAGATGAGCCTTTCCAACCTTGATCTATCCTTTTTCTACCAACGGTTACAGGTAATTAGATTTTTTTCCAATCTGCTAACTAATGATTTCCTAGTGTCTCATTCACTTACCTGCGTCCTGAAAGCCTGATGAAGAGCAGGGTTGGAGGCCGTGCACGTGAAGACGGTGTTGTGGTGCTCCCGCGAAGCCAAGAAACTCAGCGTGGATTTGGCGTTCATGCGGTGGCCGTCCTTCATCATCTCGGTTTCGTACTGGATGCCCTCCGTCACGACGCGGCCCGACCCGTCCAGCCACTGGATCTGAGGGAAAAGGGTCGTGTCTATACCGCCTTACATGGCGATTCTCACAAACAAAAGTTTCTTGGACTTGATCATGTGTCTGCAGCCTGTCGCTACGAACAAGGTCCTACCTCGGCAGCCGGTTTGCCTCCTCGAGAGACGCACTCCAGCTGGACGGCGGCGCCGGCGGTGGTGGTCACGACGGAGCCCTGAGTGATCTCTGGGCGCTCGGGAGGGACATACACCGTCAACTTGGCCGTCTGGGACCTCACCCCAGGGACGTCCTTCCACCCTGTGACCTGGCACTGGAAGTAGGAGTCATCCTCGAGGGTCACGGGGCTAATCCGAAGGCTGTAGTCTCCTGTGTCAAGTGTAGAAGAAAGATATTAGTTTGTATGTTATAATGTATCCTTGAGAATCATTACACATGATCATATATGGATCCACATGCCTGATAATATAATGCACAAGCACATTAATACTTCTACATTAAAGAATATTTTGTTAAAGCGGGTATAGAAGAGTGTTCATTGGCATGTATTTGGTTTTGTTAAGGCACACTTAAAGATGGAGTGAATAAGAAACTAACGGTGATTCATCGAATTGCTGCATTGCGTCATATGTTATGTAGCCAATGATTATCGACTAAAACCGTATTTCATGAATCAACTCCAATTAAGGATTGTTTATCATTGATCCAATGATCGGTAGCGAGTTGTCCTATGTAAATACATCCTCACTGAGTATAGTTAATTACATACAAATTACCCTAATGCTTTCCTGGTTTTTCATATAATCATAGAACAGTCTAATGTACTAGTTAAACTTCTTAAGATATGAGACACAAATAACTACACCTTAAAGAGGAAAACTATATATAAATGAAACTGTATATCGAATGTGTGGATATCATTACATATGCGCATGAAAGACAATGAACACATGTCATGAGAACAAATGCAATATCAAATGTAATACCTATCATAATTTCATGTCTCAATCCTTCCGCTGAATACAGTGCTCAACTACGAGACATCATTTTAGTGTACTAGCAGTGTATTGACGAAGTAACTGTTTCTCAGCAAAATCATTACAACTCTATAAATTATTTATTGCCTGAATAACTGCGTTTGATACGAATATTCTGAAAACCAATACCTAGTAAACGCTTGTATTGACGTGCTTGCGCTTTACTTCTGCAAATTTTTAGTATTATATTAGTATTTAACTATGAGCATGTCCTTCTCTTTATAGAAGGACATGCAAAGTTATCCTGGACATAGGTAAAACTTGATCGCACTTCAATGGCACAGCAGAAGCATTCCGATATCAGAAGAAAAGGATTGATTCTCAGTGCTGCGCATTCAGTAGCTTCGCTTCAATAAAACCTCAAGGCGGCAAGCGAGGCCGAGGAGGACCTTGGGTGTTCTTACCTTCCTCGTCGGAGCCAATCATGCGGTACCGCTTGAAGGCGTACAGCTCCCTCTCGTTGCCGAGGCCGAAGTCGTCGCGCGTCCACTGGAGCACTCCGACCTTGTTGATAATCCGACATGGCAGCACGACCGTCGAGCCGATGACGGCGGTCTGCGGCGAGGGTTCATTGGCGAACCTCTGCTCGAACCGCGGGTCTGCCGCCTCGCAGAACAGCAGCAGACTCCACCAGGCCAGGCGCCAGCACCAGCCCGGCTGCCACCCGCCTCCTCGCAT